GGCCCCAGGCCTGGTATTGATGGGCTGGGAGGCCTGGTATTGATGGGCTGGGTCTCTCCCTTCTCGCCTGTAGAGGATGTAGTTCTCCACTCAGAGAGCAGCTCCCTCTCAGAGTCTGGGGCCAGCCACGATAATGGTGAGGACTCCCTCACCCCAACCCACCACCCTTTGATGTTCAGCCCCTCCCCTTCCTCTCCAGCTTCTCCTTAGCCACGCCCCGTCCTCCAGTGGGACTCCCCTCTTCACTTTCAGCCTGCTCAGCCCTGCCCAGCCCTCTTCCCCTCCTGCCTCCCTAGCGCCTGCCCTTTGCTTTACACACAACCTACCTGGCCCCTCTCATTGAATTCTCCCCCACTGACTGTCTGTCTTCTACCCAGAGGATCCTCGTAGCTGCTTCCCTCTGGCTGAGCGCCCCTCGCCGCCCAAGTCCTGGGACCAGCTGCGGGCAGTATCTGGGGGCAGCCCTGAGCGGCGAACCCCATGGAAACCACCCCCGTCAGATCTTTATGGTGACCTGAAGAGCCGACGGAACTCCGTGGCCAGCCCCACCAGGTGAGGTTGAGTCCCTTCCCTCCTTTCCCTGTGAGCCGGGAGTAGGGTCCTGAGCCTGGGCTGGCAGGAGGGCCTGCTGGCGGGAACAGTCTCTAACGTGGACCCCTACCCGGGCTTGCCCGTCTCTGTCTAGCCCTACACGCTCGCTGCCCAGGAGTGCCTCCAGTTTTGAGGGGCGAAGTGTGCCTGCCACCCCCGTCCTCACGCGGGGCGCTGGCCCCCAGCTCTGCAAGTAAGGGGGCTTGGGAGGTGGGTTTGAGGACCAGAGGAAGGAACCATTAGCTCTAAGTGGGAGAGCATTCCCAAAGGGTGTGGTACTTGAGAGGCTGGGCTTTGAAAGGTGAATAGGAATTGCTTGGTAGAGAAGAAGGGGGTGAGGATTTGAGGGCAGAAATCCCAGCGATTGAGTATGGGCTTTTCTATGTATTTTGGACAAGTCATTTCCTGCCTGGCCAGTGTTGTTCAGTGGATTGAGCGTTGTCCTATGCACCAGGAGGTCACTGGTTCGATTCCCAGTCAGGACACATACCCAGGTTTCAGTCTCGATCCCCAGTAGGGGGCGTTCTGGAGGCAGTGGATCAATGTTTCTATCTCTCTCCCTCTCCCTTCCTCTCTCTAAAATCAATAAAAAAAAACCACACGTATCATTTCCCATCTCTGAATCTTGGTCTCCTCATTTGTAAAATGGGAATAATAATATCTGCCTTTGATGTGGACATACTAAGTTCTGGTTAACTTGTACTGAGTACTGAGTGTCTGCTAGGGGTCAGTGCATTGCCTGGTATCAACTCACTTCATCACCACAAGATCTCTATGAGGAGGTGCTTTTGTTATTCCCATTTTATAGATGAGGAAACTGAGGCACAGAGAGGCTAGGCAACTTGTTAGCAAACCAAAGGCCTGGTATTTCAACCCAAAATTTGACTCTAGAGTCCGTGCTTTTAACCACTGTCCTCTACTGCTTCTTTTTTTAATTTTTTTTAAATTAAAAAAAATATATATATTTTATTGATCTTCTATAGCGAGGAAGGGAGAGGGATAGAGAGTCAGACACATCAATGAGAGAGGAACATCGATCAGCCGCCTCCCGCACATCCGCAACCAAGGTACATGCCCTTGACCGGAATCGAACCTGGGACCCTTGAGTCCGCAGGCTGACGCTCTATCCACTGAGCCAAACCGGTTAGGGCTCTACCGCTTCTTAAGTACCCAGTGCCTGCTTTTCTCGGGCTGTGAACAAAGCAAAGTCCGGGTCCTCATGCTACTTGCATGTGGTGATGGTGGCTAGTGGGCTGATAGTTTTGGGTGGTTCATACACATGGGGGTGGGGAGGACAGAGAATTTAGGAAGGGCCTTGAAGTTGAGGCCTAAGGATTAGTACCTCCTTGTGGAGGAAGTGGGGGGCCATGAGACTCGCCTTAGCAAGAGGTGCTGGTCAGATGTGCTCGGTAGAGCCCTCGTCTGGGCGTTCCCCTGCCAGCATTTCCTCTCTAGCCTTGCAAACACCGGCATCTCCCTTGGAGCAAACAGCCCTGGGCCCCCGTACATTTTTAATTCCTCTTCCTTCAGTCTGGGACAGAACCTCTTCTGCCCTTTACATGCCTCTACCTAACACCTTTATACACGCAATTTCTAGTCCAGGGGGATGGAGGACTGATGGCTCAGAGAGAAGCATGATACGGACCTAGGGTGCTCAGCCCATCTGCCTATTTCTGACTTTCCTCCCATTCCCCCCACCTTTTCTCCCCCAGACCTGAAGGCCTCCATTCACGCCAGTGGTCTGGCAGCCAGGACTCCCAGATGGGCTTCCCCCGGGTGGACCCGGCCTCGGACCACCGCGCCTCGCTCTTTGCAGCTCGCACCCGCCGCAGCAACAGCTCTGAGGCCCTGCTAGTGGACCGGGCGGCTGGGGGTGGAGCTGGCTCCCCACCTGTGCCTCTGGCTCCCCCTGCCCCTGGTCCCCCAGTCTGCAAGAGCAGCGAGGTGCTGTATGAGCGCCCCCAACCAGTCCCTGCCTTCTCCTCCCGCACAGCTGGCCCCCTAGATCCTCCCCGGGCTGCCCGGCCGAGCTCAGCTGCCCCTGCCTCCCGTGGGGCCCCCCGGCTCCCACCTATGTGCGGGGACTTCCTCTTGGACTATTCCTTGGACCGGGGCCTGCCCCGAGGTATTGGTGGGCCAGGCTGGGGGGAGCTGCTGCCTGCAGCTGAGGTCCCAGGACCCTTCTCCCGCAGGGATGGGCTCCTCGCCATGTTCCCAGGCCCACCACCCATGTATGCAGCTGACGGCAGCAGCCCCCTCCTCCGCAGCAAGGACCCCCACACCCGGGCCACCCGCACCAAGCCCTGTGGCCTGCCCCTGGATGCCACAGAGGGTCCAGAGGTGCATCCAAACCCCCTGCTGTGGATGCCCCCACCCACCCGTATCCCTCCAGCTGGTGAGCGCAGTGGCCACAAGAACCTTGCCCTGGAGGGGCTACGGGACTGGT